CATTTCAACAGTGGATGTCAACAAATGCTTTGACCTTCAGATTTGCAGCCCAACTTGCACAGACACCTGCTAGAAGTAGAAAATATTGTCCCACAGTAGAATTTCAGTAATTGTCTTTTTTTCCCCCAGGCCTTAGTTTATTGATCAGCCTCTGTAAAGAGCTTCTTATGAAAAACTTAATTGAATTCCTGGACACTTTCTGGTTGAAGAAAATGGGGAAAAATGTCTGACAGTCTGTATTGATGTGGCTGAACTTCACACACACACAGAGCATCAATTAACCTATGTTTTCTGTTCTATGTATTTTATTTACTGTGCTCAGTCAGAAATGCATTTCTAGTGAGCTGGGATTGTATTTATGGGGTGAACTGTATTGGTGGTGTAAAACTGATGGAAAAATCTTGGACCACTCTGCCCATGCAGATCTGCAGGCCTGTGATCTTCCTCTGGTGTTCTGGTCACATACTCTTAGGGTGGCATTTCCTCACCCTTGCATGTACAGCATAAAGGACAGAGCACCTTTTCAGTCATTTTGCTTTTAAGCAGCTTTAATAGTTAAGTTTAGTAGAGCTGTTGTAATTTTTTTTCATTTTCAGCTTACTTTCTTCAGCCTAAACACATGTGCCATGGCTCTACTGATGCCCTGTGGGATCAGGTATTGCTGTGTGTGCAAGGTGCCCTAATTTTTTTTTTGGTTGGTTTGTTTTGTCTGCTGTTTGGCACAAGAGAGACTCCCCTGGACCCCAGCTACTGCCAGCAATTACAGACAGGTGCTCATCCCCAGTGGGAATAAATGTTTCCAGCCAATATTTACTGCTGGTTCTGCCCTGGAAGAACAGAGTTTTGGCTCTGCAGTGAGGAGGTGTAAAATAAAGCTCTAGAGGTGGCTGGAAGTTCACTGGTTGCCCTTGAAACACTGCAGATGGTTTTGCATATCAATTACTAAAGCTATTGAGTGTATCTGTGCTTTCCTCTGAGGCAGAGGGTCCTGGGCTGGGGAGTGACCATATCACTGTGGTCCTGGTAAGAAGAGACCCCCTTGGCACAAAGAATTACTATGGCTGAGTCTTCTGGAGGTGTTTTGACAGTCTGTCTGTGAACTGCTTCCTTGGAGATTTCTCCCTTCTGCAGCCTTGAGATGAGTTTGAGGTCACCAGCCAGTGTTTGATAAGAGATGGGACTGCTTCACTTACTCACTGCCATCTATCTTGTATATTCAGAGTTTTTCATCAGGAAAAATAGCATGGTTGTGTCCCAGGAGACTGCAGTTACAGTAGAATCATATCATAATGTATCAGTGTAAATATTTAATGCTTTCTGTCATTTGAGTAGCAGGGCACACCAGCATTTTTGTTGTCATCTGTTACTTTTTAATACCAGATTTGGCTTCTTTCTCCAGAGGCCTGCAAAGGTCACTGCTCTGCAAGGAGAAATGCCAGGACATCAGCTTTTGGGAAGCTGAAAATTCAGAGCAGCCAGCAGGGAAAATTGAGGTCCTGCTTTATGAGAGGTGGTGCCTTCCTGTGTCAGATGTACCTGAAAGAACCCAAGGTGCTCTCTTGGCTTTGCAAGTTTGTTCCCAGCAGCAAATTGCAGTGAAAAAGAACCTTCTGTTGTGTCTGTACTTGCAACATGTAGTTGTGTCCTTGTAGGTTAACTGGGGCTTTGCTGTGGGTTTCTGTTTCTTCTTAATTTTTTTTTTATTACCTCAGAGAAGAAAATACCTGTTGGAATTGCACCTCGTGGTCACAGTCACAAATGCACTCCCAGCCTTGAGGAGAGTGCAAAACATGAGAACACTGGTGTATGTGTTTTTAAATCTGTTAATACTTTTAAAAAGGAAGACCTATACTCATGGATGACCTACACTTGTTGTGTGGAGATTTTCCAGAGGCTAGACAGATTTCAGGAGCTCTGTAGCACTTGTCATGTGCTATTTCCTGGTTTACCAGAGTGTTCAGCTGGATGATGGGAGTGAGGAAGGCTAGGCAAGGGGCTTTCCTGCTCTTATTCCATGCTTGTCCATGCAGTACTCAGGAAGAGCTGGCTTTGGGATAAGTGTCATAATTCCAATAAAACAGTTATACTGCTGGGGTAGAATCTGTGTCTAATTGAACCTTTGTGCTTGATTTTAGTGAGGCCACACTTTAGGATTGCAGACTGGGAAGAGGACTAGATATGCTGGTGGAGACAACAGAGGAGGAGTTGTATGAGTTTCAGCAAGTGAATATAGAGGCAGGAAAGAGAGTGAAGTTTGAGATGAGAAAGATATATATACATATAAGGAAAGGAAATAGGCTCCTCTCTTAAGGTGGAGGGAAAAAAGCAGATAATGGGGATCAGGTGGCAATTTGAGGGAAGTAAAGAGCAGGAAAGAGAAGAAAAATGGAGATGGAGATCTCATAAAGGTCATGGAATACATTAATTTTTCTTTCACTCTTCTTGCATTTTAGGCAGGAAGAAACAGTAATTATCAACTTTTCTTCCCTCACAGATTCATTTAACCCCTCTGAGCTTATTCTTTACAGTGGGATGGGAATAAGTAAAGGAAATGATGGGGAAAGTGTGATCCTTGCTGATGGGTTTTATTTGCAAGAGAAACAGAACAGAGAGAAAATCAGCCCTTCTTTTAGGGGCCATGTTGCAAGAGGGAACAGTTCCGGGTGGGTCCTTTTTCTGCTCCACAGGCTCTGGGGATCCATTTCTTTGGTGTTTCCATGTCCATCTTCATTCTGTGATTCTCCAGTTTCACAGTTTCCTTAGCAGGCAGCGTCAGAGATGTGCAGCCCTTGCTGTTCCCTCAGGTGGGGTGCAATAGTTCTGTTATCCCCAGTGCTGTGCTGGACTGTCAAAGCTGTGACACCAAGGTCTGCGAGCGCTCCTGAGTCTGTGTGCTGCTCACCCTTGTGCTGCTCCTCTGTGCAGGAGTGGAGGGAGGGATAAGCAGGCTGCTGGCTTGTGCATGTTGTGTCTGTAATGCCAGATATAAAAACCTCCCTCCTCTTTTTCTCCCGTTTTGTATTTATACCTGTGTTTTCACTTTGTGTCATTTAGAAATCAAAGCCAGGAGTGTGCAGTTCAGCAGCAGCAGGAGAACTGTGCTTACTACTAATCTGCTGCTTTGCTCAAATTAAACATTTATGGGGCCAGAGACTCCTCACTGCTCCAGCTTTCAGCCTCCTACACTGTGATGATTTTTTTTCTTTGTGTTTGACAGAGCTCCTGCAAGAAATACAGTGAAATTAAATTATCCTCCGTTGGCTTCTCTCCCTTCCAGCCCACCTTTGTTAGTCCAGTTTGTTTTTTTCCTTGACTGCAGCAGATGGGGAACAGCTGTTGGTGTAAGCAATGCTTTATACTCCCTGTGAGTTGGAAGGTTTCACCCCAGTCTGATGGGCAGAGATCTGCCCTCCGTTATCGGTACCTGTTTCTGTTCTCAGAGGTCTATTCCAAGGTGGTGAAACTGGGTAGGAGCTCCTTACTCCTCAAACCAGGTATCCCAGTGCTGCAGCATGTTGCTACTGGTGCTCTAAGCTGTGTTGGCTGACTTGATCTCCGCTAAGAGCAGTTGGATGCCTTCAAAGACCTGGATTTTATCTGCTCCTCTGTGGCCTCAGGCCTAGAGTAAAAACTGGGTGATAGTTCTGTTTCTTGGGCACACTGGAGTGAAGATAATTTCTACAGAAAGGGGTTGTTTCTGAGCCTATTCAGAGACTTTTACAGGGCCTAATGCTCAGTCTTCCCTACCAGAGCATGGTCTTCTTTGATGTAACTTTTCTAGCTTAAAGCAGTGCTGCATGGATGCTGAAAGCCCACGCTCCTAAAATAGATTGAGTAGAACAAGCACTTCACTGCTGACTCCTCTTCAGGAGAGGAGGGAGAAGGTAGCAAAGAGCAGATGGCAGGTATTAGTCATATCACCTAATTTATCTGAACACCTCAGACACCATCACACAAAGGTGGTGGAGGAACCCAGAGGGAAGGGATCCTCCTAACAGAGCAGACTGGATGTTAGAGTTGCACAGGATATACGGGCAGAGGGGACCTGAGGAAAGGAGGGGGGTTGCAACCAAATGCTAAACCAAGAAGAGTGTGTTCACAAGGAGCTGTGTCCAGAGCTGCTTTTATTTGCCCAATTTTCCAGGCCATTCCCTCCTGACTGACAAGCACCTCAGAGCATCACTCCTTGGAGCTCCCTTGCTTATAGCACATTTCCCTCTCCAAAAGGAGTAGAACAAAGGTCCAATACCCCAGAAATAACTGGATTCCTCCACTTTCAATTAACTGGAATGACCTTATTCTAACTCTTACTGTAATAAATGCAGTATAGAAGCTGCTTGCTCTTTTCACCCAGTATATAAGTGGCCAGTGTGCACCTTGCAGTTGAGCTGGGCTGGCTCAGCATCCCCTCCCTGTTCCAGGTCTCTGGTATCCCCACACTGGCCCTGGCCCTGGCCCAGCTGGCAGTGGGCTCTTGGAGGTCCCCTGAGATGCTCCTGCCTGCTGGTGTGCTCGGGAGCACAGCATGTAAGCGCAACATAAAATCTGTTCAGTCCTTTGTACATCAGTGGCTTCCAGCAAACTTGACACCATGGAGCAAGTAGGGCACTGGAGGACCTGCAGAGGTGGCTGGAGAAGTGCTTGAGTTGCATTGTCTGTGTAATTACTTGCTTCAGACCCAACCTGGCCAAAGGGCAGCTGTGGGCACATTGGAGGGTAGGAAGGTACGAATGTGGGCTCTTGACTTCCCTGTACAGAAATGGGGCCCTCAGGAATCACAGCATTGGTGTGATCTCCCTGCAGAATTGGCTGTCTTGATTTGTATTTTCTTCCCATTTGTTTTGGGGTTTTGTTGGTTTTGCTGTTCTAAATCTTCAACAGCAGAGGCTGAATGTGTCGCCTCCTCATTTTTCTCCTCTTTTGTTTCAACTTTTTGGCAATCATGTCTAAAGAACTGCTCTGCTGGAGTTACTCCCATCTTTTCTCACACTTGTGCTCAGCCCCCTGCAGAAGCCAAGCACCCCACGGACCTCTGAATTCCAGATACCACTTTGGTGGCACCTTGGATCTCTGGGCTTCAGCTTTTGCCAAACACCTAATGAATGTATGAAGTGAGTAAAACACTTCTTCTGTGAGCTCTGCTGATACACAAGGGGTTAACTAAGCTCTGTTTATTAATGTTGTTCTTTAAATTGTGCCAGAACGTTTGAAAACGCTCAGCGGACAGGGCAGTAAACACCGTTAAATGACAATACTGTTCAATATTTGCTGTTAATTGAGAGAGGCAGCAGCTGCTGGTATGCAGCTCCAGCCAGGATGAATTAGTAATGAGTCTGTAACTCTGGGGTTTTTTTTTTACTGGTTTAAAGTTGCATCAGCCCTTTACAGTTCAGTGACATGCTTGGGATAGAAATAAAAATCATAGCAAGCCCTAAATTGAAGATTTTTTTGTTTTTTGTTTTCGAGTAAGTTGTCATGGAGCTGTGGTGTCAGTGATAAATTTGGTAGCAGTGATAAAACTGCCTTGTATTTAAGGACCAAACTTAAAGGTTTTAGGTTAGCTTGTCCATCCTGTGTGGCAGCCAGTGGGAAGGCAGCAGGCAAAGCAAACTCCTCCTTTGCAAGAAGGCACTTTTGTTGGGTTCTCACTGGCTTCCAGAGACCTTTTCAGTCAAACTAGGAGTTCTGGTTAAAGCTTCCTAACTGGCAGTAGTGCAGGTCGTGGTGTGTGAGACAGTTCTGTCCCTCACTGAAGGGTGACAGCAGGAGAGGGAACACTAATTCAGCGTTTCCCTTGTCCTTCCCATGCACTTTTGCCATGCATGTTTGTTAAGTTTAACCTTTGAGAACTTGCTGATAAGCTGTTAATCAACCACCAGTTAAAACAACAAACCCTCCCGCCTTGCTGGGTTGGGGTAGGGACTTCCCAAGGCTTCAGGAACATCATTAATCCGGAGCAGCCAGGCTGGGGGCAAAGTTTCCTCTCAGAAGAAAGCAACCACAGCCCCTTTCATGCTGTTTATGCAACGCTCCCCGTGAATATTTATTTTGCATAAAACGCTGTATTTTGAGCTCTAGGTGTGATTGTGAGAGTGCAAAACTGCCTTCTGGTGGTCATTAGCAGGTCTGAGGTGGGACACAGGAAACAAAATTCCAGCTCTGTGGAAAACAATGCCAACAGCCCTATTGATTTCAGCACAACTCGGCTTTCACTGCAAGTAGAAGAATTTCGAAGCAAATAATGTTTTGTTTGTTCAGTTCTTTAAACAAAAATCCATCTGTGGGGATTAGTGCTTGCATCCAAACACTCACAGTTCTGCTGATGTTTGGGTAGGATGAGAAATAGGCAATCGAAAGAATTCTTTGGGTCCTTAAAGAGGAAAAGAAATCCCAGTAGCCAGTGGCGTTTGTAACCCTGTTCCCAGCAGTGTGATTCCTGTATCACACACCTCCGGGCGCTGTGTTTGTTCTCCATGGCACTTTTTACCCAGTTAAGTGTTTTTTGCGTGTTCTTAGCAACCTGAAGGTGCCACACACCCTGCTGGCTTCTGGATTAGATTATGGATGCAGGGAATCTTTCAGGCTGGATGTGGGAAGCAAGTGTTAAAAGCCAAGAGAATGCTATGGAAGTGCAGCAAGAACTGAACTCATCTGGTGATAAAAGTCCTTCAACCCCAGAAGTCCCTTTCTGTTTAGGGCACTGACCATTCACACCTTGGCTGCCAGTTATCAAATGATGCTTTAAGATCTGTCCTTAAAAGTTCTGGTTTTTTCTTGTGAAATTCAATGATATATTCCAGTGGCGTTCTGCCAACTTTGGGCATCTGGTGTCTCCATGTTTTTTACGAACATCTCTCCAATTTTATATGCTGTTTTCTATATATATATATGAACTGAACTGTGTTTAAAGGGATAATATAATCAAATACATTTTTCTTTTTTTTTTTTCCAAGTCTGTTTCATCTGTAGTATTGCTTACAATGCTTACGTTGCTCACAATATTTGTTTTATTGAAGCAGGAAAATAAACCTTGTGTTTACACGCACTGTTCCTGTGATAAAATAGTGGTAAAAATTGTAATCACTGGCTTTTGGTGCTTCTTAAAATTGACTTAATAGAACCATGTAATTTTCATGTAAACAAAGGCCCATATTTACATTTTTATTATATAAAAAATAAACTCCAAGGTTTGGCTAATAAAGCTCTTAAAATACATCTATGTTTACTTTGGGTTCTATTTGGAAATTATTCTGTAATTAAAATGGTTAATACAAAGCTGGTATAAGGCAAATTGGTCCTTTCCTGTGGAATAATATTGCTACGTCCTCCTCCTCCCGTTGCCCAAATAAAGCCTCTGAATGTAACCTAGCCTGGACCTCCCAGGCTTTTTTACCTGTTGGGAGTGTGGAATTACCTGTCCTGTTCTCATGGCAAACTAGAATAGATAAGGAGAGACCTTAATACAGCGCTAAAATGAAATTACAGTAGTGACAAGATTAGTGTTTTTCTCAAATACAAATGGCTCTTGCTCCTACTTTTCCAAAAAATTGGAATAACTAAGCTTCCAAAATGTTGGGAGTGGCCTTGAGAGCGGCTCAGTTGTGCAGGACATGAGGGAGATGGTGCCTGTTTCTGCAAGGCCACAAAGATTTTGTTGTCTAAAGTCTCTTAATTCTGGCAAGACACTGGTGCTGGTATTTCTGACTCCCTTCCTCAGCGCTGCAGTAACCCGGTTGTGGCTGGTGGTGGATACAAGGAAAACAATGTGTGTGGGTAGGGATAATCTCTTTTTAAGACCGGTGAGTTTAGTGTTTGCAATAAAGTTCTGTAATTTCAAGGTGTTGGTTAATTTTATGAAGAACTGAGCTAAGTCTTGCAGCCTCTTAGATTTGTGTGGGGTGGGAAGAAGATGCAGTAGGCTCAGGATGGGAAGTCTCAGTATTTGTTGCTTCTCTCCTTGCCTGTTTGTGATAGTACCAGGAATATTGGTGTTATGAGTTGTATGTATGTAGGAGGGCCGTAAAAAGTTCTGCGTTTCCTAAAATTTGCTTAAAATTAGTAAAACAAATAGCTTGGAGTTCAGGTATGAAATTAAGTGTAAAATATCATTAATAGATTACCTCGAAGTATGTTATTTTAAAGGCTAATCCCATCCTGATGTAATTTTGTAATATGGAAAGCTCTGAGCTCTTTTACTGGAGCCGCTTTCTTAATTTAGATTAAAATTGTACCATAAAAGGATTACAGAGTGTGGGCCTGTGCTAAGAAAGGATGTACTAAATATGTTGAGATATTTTTCTACTCCCAACTTCCATTTGAAAGTGCATGCTAAATTCTGGATGTGTTCTGCTGCCTTTAAATGTGCCATGTAACATAACGATGTGCTGAGGGAGGGGATGTTTTGGGTTGATCTTGGGAGCATTATTTAAATGCATTGCAGTAGGATTCTGAGTTTTCTTGTTCTTTCTAGAGAGAAAAATTCAGTGCTGGGCTGTCCTGAACACCACACATGGTGAAGCTTCAGAGAACAGCTTGGTTTATCTGACGTGAAGAGGAGGCACATGTGCAGTGAGCCAAGAGGACATGGGCTTTCAGTGCACCTGCAACAATGATCAGGTACTGGCAGTTGTTCTTTAACCACAGTAACTAGTCAGGAACTCAAAGGTGTGAAACAACAACATGCTCGCTCCTGCAGTTGTCTGAAATTTTAAATGCGCTTTGCTTTGAGGCAGGAGCGAGGGGAGTTCACCTTCTGCTTTTGTGTTGTGTCTAGAACCATTTCTCTGCTGAACTTGCTCACCTGCAGACTCCTCATGGAATCCAGTTCCCATGGGAGGGAATAGGAAGGGACAAGTGCCGAAGGGGTTGTTTGCACAGACTGAGGTGAAGTTGATCTTAGTGTTTAAATTTTCCAAATGTGACTTGGGCTCTGAAAGCATTTGAATCTTTTAATTCAGGTGTATTGATTCTGTGAGGGGATAACATTAAGATATTTTTCATTGTTGTAAGTACTCTTTCATGGTATTTCCTTGGTGATTGCCTGGAGAACACAGATTTTTCAGAGGAATCCAGGCTGTTTTATCTGGAGTAGAGACACCAGTGAAGTTCCAGAAAATGCAGAGACTTGTGGTTTGCTTTGAGATCTGAACAGGTTATGGATTTAATAAATGGGAGAAGGATTAGGCTTTTGGTCTTTAAGTGTCCTATTCTTCCCCTGTGTCCTCAAAGTGAGTCTTTATGGTCTGTTGTCACTTTTGAAATGAGGTGTAAATGGCAGGAGGTTTCTTTCTGTCTCCTATTTTCTTATCTTCTAATGCATCTGTGTGAGCCTGTGATAATTTTTTAATGTACATTGCCTTTGATGTTAGCATGATGCTTAATGTGGTTTGGATATTGCTGTTCCTAAGAATATTTCATCTGTTGATTGTGTCATATGCAAAACTTTTAGTTTATCTATTTTATGCATTAAAAGTTAAATGGCAAAACTTGTATGCTAGCAAACTGCATATAGCAATGTGAAGAACTGAAAAGGAGCAAATTCTATAAAAATTCTCTAATCCTTCTAATTAAGGTTTAGAAGAATAAAGAACAGTTTCTTGTTTCCTTTGTAGATGCTAACTGGAAAATCGTTTATTCTTGTCTCTAACTAAAATGATCTACAGTTTTCTTCAGTTAGCGAATGGATGTGTGTAATGCAAGGAAACAGTTGTTTCACTTGGGAGAGACTGTAAATGGTTTTGTTCTACACGTTCTCTTTACGTTTGTCTGATTTGTATGATCTTTGTTGTACGGAGATGCTTCATGCAGAGAAAACCACAGAGATGTAATTTTAGGATGTGCCTGAGCCACCTCTGAGTGGGATTGCAGAAAGATGTGAGATGGAACTACATTTGGGGATTCATTTCTTAATATAAAAGCTGCCAGTTTTTACCCATTCTGTGAGGAGTGGTGGGTGCTGGAGAGGCAGAGCATCCATATATTTAGACTCTGGCTGTCTCTTGTTACGAGTCATAATTAAGGTGAAGTATTTTCTGAAGAACTAAATTCTCCCTTGATTTGAACCTGGTTTCATGTCGGTGAAAGCAATTAGTCTCATGAACCACCCTGTCTTTGCTTCATCAGTGACAATTCATCAGTTGCCTCATCAATGTTGCTGCTTCTAATTTGTCTGATATACTGTGGTTAGTAGACAAGGCACCCTATATGGGAGTGCTCTGTGCATGGTGGTAGGGGATAGAGGAGGCTTGAGGATAGAGAGGCTGGCCCTAAGGGGGACTGTGACATTTATAGAGGACTGGGGTTATAAAGCACTCCTGTGAAGCCCTGGAATGGTCCCAGGGTAACATTTCAGCTGATGGGCTGGTGAATGTGGCTCTCATTTGTTCTCTCTCAGCCATGACTTGAGTTTTTACTAACGTGGTGCTGATTTTTCCTCAGTGGGCAAATCCTGTGCAACCCAAAGCTGGTGATTGGAGTTGCAGTATTAGGATACTGGCTAAGTTTTATGTGCCCTTTTGGTTGTCCCTTAAGGTCAACTCTGTGACTTAATTCAGAAAGTATTTGGTGTGGTGGGGGCTTTGTGGTGCCTTCATCATATATTGCATTGTCCAGCACTGTGCTTGAAAACAAGGATCAAACCCCACTGCTGACAAGTTCAGTGCTCTCAATCCCAACATTCTGCTACTCATGACTGTTACTGTTTCAAGTGCTGTCATAAGTCCTCATGAAGTGAGTAATTCTGTGTGGTGATACCTCAGACAGATCAAGAGTGCTCTTCCAGGGTCTGCAGTGGAGCAGTGGGGGAGCAGAAGCCTCTTGGGAGAGAGGAAAAAAAAGCAGTGAGCTCTGAAGCAAAACCTACTGGAGGCTTCATGAACGAAGTGAGGCTGGGAGGGAGATGCTGAGCAGGTTTTGTTTGCCTTGAGAATATTTACATAGGGTTGATCCACTGTTCCTGAAGGAACTTTATCATGGTGCTACAGAGAAAACTGTTAGTGCTAAATATAGAACCTTGTTCTGGTAGTCTCTTGACTTACAAATGCTTGAATTTTGCTATCTTAATGGGCTTTCAGCAGTTTTTGTAGTTTTTTTGGTACAAATCTGAATAATATTCCTTGGAGAGGTTGTGTAATGGTAACAAGGATGGAAAGATTTAATTTGGTGAGACCTTGTACTGCAAAAGATCAGAAGAATGTTTTAGCTTCTGCTCTTGCTACAAAGACTTCAGTGCTTGGATATCCTCACAGAAGAGGCCTGAGAGGTTCCAAAAGTTCATCTTGACCTTTTGCATCAAGGCATCATCACTATTACTGGACAGCTTTTGAAATGATTTTTTGCCCTTTAACTCCTAATGGAGGAGGCGACTTGAGTTTTTTAGGCTGGTGCTTCACTATTTACCACTTAGAAAAGTTCTCGTGGCCTAAGGACATTTTTCATGTTGCAGTTTGAGTCCATTACTTTTCTTACTCACTGCCAATGTAGAGAATAAGTTCCCTCTTTCTTTGCAGAAACCTTTTCTATATTTAATGGAAATATGTCATATCTCTTCTTCTTTTACTCTGTTCAGACTGAGCCACCTCAGTGAGTTACCTCACTCATCCCTCATAGCTCACCCGACTACCTGTCTGTCCTTGCTTCTAGTTCTGGTGTGGTTTCTCTCTTTCCTGAGAAGCCTGACCCAAAAATGGACTTTACCAAAGGCTTCATCAAAAGTGAGAGGATCAGGAATTTGTGCTCCTGTCAATGGACAGGACTTGCCTTGTTTGTGACAGCTGGGTATTTATAATTTGTGCTCAGACTGTGATCCTCTCCATCCCTAGCCCTTCTCTACAGCACAGCTGCTCAGAGTTGTTTCTATATTTATGCAGGTGATTTTTTTTTTTCCTCTGAACAACACTTGACCTTGGGGAATTGGATGGCATTTTTTAATCACTTCTTCAGTTTCATTAATTCCTCTCTGCAAAAGCTCCCCATTTGTGTGCCTTTTTATGGAAATAACATAAATTATAGGACTTCTTTTTCCACATGCTACTGAGGTTTTGTTGTCAGGTCTCACTGCTTTTGCAGGCTCCTCACCTGGAAGAGGAGTGGTGACATTGGCTCAGTTGGCTTTTAAAAGTGTCCCTTATAGCTGCTATTTATATATACTTATTTTGAATATTTTTTTCAGTGTTTCTCACTGCTGGCACCTCTATTAGAGTTAATTATTGTTATGGAAGCCTTGATTTCAGCATGTTCTCTGAGAGGAATATTATTTTTGTGCCTATGTGCCTGAACAAATAGATCTGCTTTTCTCCCATGGCCTCTACTCAGCTGGGCCACTGCCACTGGAAATGTGGGGAGGCTGTTGTTCACTTGCTGCATTAACTGCCCTTTCAGCAGCTTTAGTGTCTCTTATGCAGCACTATTTCCTTCCTGGTGGAGTTCCAGGACTTCTCCTTATGTCTCAGGAGCTGGGCAGTCTTCCTTCAGAAGGTAAGTCTGCAAAGGTAGTTTTTTGAACTTCCCCAGCCTCATCAGTGCATGTTAACATTACAGTGACTTGCCTCATGCTGAATCTACCCAGACTTACTGTGATGAGGAGCCTGCGAGGCACAGCTCACCTGGAAAAAGTAGGGGAAACCACCCAGAAACTCCTCAAAAAAAGAATCTATACCAGCTTGGTATAGAGACCACATAATGCATTTTGTCTCATTGTTGCCTTTTAGTGTCTTTATTTTTAGTTCCTGGAGTGTCACTAATGGCAATACGAGGTTAAAGGCGGCCATTGTGCAGTTTTATATGCTCCTACCCATCCTGACTTGCAGAGCACACTTGGTCAAACACAACTGGCAACGGCATGGAAGGTGGTTTTACTGTAGAGAAACCTCACTTTTAGGTAAGAGGAGTTGGTAGCACTTTGATTTGAAGACTGTGAAATGGTGGTACAAGCATCAGTGGGTTTGTTTGAATCACTTTTAGGGAGACCCTTGTGAAAAGGGAGGCTTTCCCTCAGGGTATTGTGTATCTGTGAGTCTGTGCCCATCTCCAGCTCTCTGCTTTCATTCCTAGCAGACCCAGATGTCTTGCACATACCCCCCTTTGGGCTTTTTCTCCTTTCCTTTGGTCTCAGTTGATGGCTCTTGGCACTGGTCCTGTTGAATTGCAGTGCCACTACCTTTGCAGGGAGGACTTTCCAGAGTCTTGGATTTGGGGATGTTTTGGTTAAAATCTTGATCTGATTCTATGATTCTGATTTTTTTCCTTCTTTCCTGTGACCCACTCCACTGCTGAAGGTTAGGGCACTCAGAAGAGGGGTGTTTGCCTACAGGGTTGGAAGAGTGGATCCGAGATTTCACAGGTGTTTAGAACTTGACAATGAAATGCCCCTCTCACCACCTTATCTGTGCCAATATTTACCCAGACTTTTGCCTGTTGGAGAATCACTTGCTGTCTCACTTTACCTGTTTACTCATCCTGGTAGAAGTTTTCACAGTGCTGTCCCTCTCATACCCTGAAGTGTGTGCAGAGCAGATTTATTAACAGTCCTGGTGCTGTATAATTATGAAATTAACCTTTGAATCACTGCTATCTCTCTTCTAATTTTCTGCTGTAGTCAGTGGAATGTACCACGAGAA